ATGAGGAGGAGGGGGGGGGGGCGAATCAACAGGACACCAACGAGAGCAACAATTCGCTAGTTGTCGTCTCGGAGTACAGACCGCCGCCACGCTAGGCAGCCCGCCGCACAGACCCGTTCCGTCCCGTCCCGTTCCGTGCGCCCCCGACTGCGAGTGAGTTGCGCCCTTCCGCGTTCCCGGCGCCCCTCCCGTGAGTGCGTGTTCGGCCCCGGCCCGGCTGAGTCCTGCCGCTTTTGGTGCCCGCTTTTCCTGCGAGTGTCCTTCCTGTGCGAGTTGTTAAAGTGGTGCTTTTTGCCTCCGGAACCGCGGCATGCTTTCCTCAGCTCACTGAAAGGTTTGTCTTCAGATCATCCCTTCCTCGAAACCCTTAATGGTAGCGGGTAACTGGATTGTCACTATATATATAATCACTATATATATATTTATAAATGAGGGAATAATACCCACAAGGCCCAGAGATAATACATTTGAGAGACCTCGCACTGAAAATCTGAACGATGTAATGTTCAGATCAGGTCTTCAGATCATCCCTTCCTCGAAACCCTTAATGGACCACTAGACAAGGTATGAATTTAAGCGATTTGATACATGTTTCTTGACCAGAATTTCACGTAGAACACGATTAGCGCAATGAATATTACTGAAACTAACTCCTAACGAAGATATCAACGTTTTTATTTTACATTGGTAACGAGGAATTTGAACTGCCCGCTCACGAGAAACTCAAAGCTCTACGAGAGTCAAATCGCCCACTACAACGGTTTCAGCAAGCTTCTCAATCGAGCAATGTTCATTTCCCACCTTATGTTGTTCAAACTATTAGCAATTTGCTATAGCTGAGCCGAAGCGTCAAGATTGAGGTTGCCAGATTTTTAAATAGCAGATACTGTCATGATAACGTTTAGCGCGCGATGTGAATCACGTAGAGTATTGAGTTTTCATGAGCGGGTGGTTTAAATTTACGCATCAAGATTCATTAAATATCTCCGTAAGGAGTCCATTTCGTTGATTTTCGTTGTGCGCATCGTGTTCTACGTGAAATTTTTAATTAAGAAACATGTATCAGAGTGCTGAAATTCGTACTTTGTCTAGTGGTCCATTGTAGTGGGTAACTGGATTGTCACTATATATATAAATGAGGGAATAATACCCACAAGGCCCAGAGACAATACATTTCAGAGACCTCGCACTGAAAATCTGAACGATGTAATCGCGTGAGCTAGAAGTCACGCTCGTAGGCCTACGCTACTTTTCGCCTAATGATGTCTGATGAGCAGGTTGTTGAGCAGAAAATCAAACAAAACTCGCCTATACTGCCGTGCTAAGGAAAAACGCCGTATGAACATTTAGGCGTTGCCAAGTTTCCTTTGATAAAACACAAATTTCCTGGTATACGTATGAATATTGTCCTTCCAAATTTTCAGATAGTTTTGTTCGCAGTTTCACCCAATGGCCCTGAAGATTTCAAGGAAAAATATTCGTATCTTTCCTCAAAAATGAACATTTTATTAAAGGAAATTTGGCAATTCTCGAATGTTCATACGGCGTTCTTCCTAAGCACTGCAGTGTAATGCTGACTGGTGAATAACGGGCTGGGCACTGTGCCAGGCGAGTTTTTGCATATTTCATTAGGATTGCTTCCATCGCTCAATCTGCTGGTCATCAGTCATTTTAGGCGAATCTGAGCGTTCGTTTTCGAGAATAACTATTGCACTAAAGGGAGGGAAGTTGAGTGAAGTCTCTAAACTATATCTTTCCCTGAAAAAACCCTTGTTAGAGTAAATATCTCAATGATGATCAAATGGACAGAGTTAACCAAAATCTTCCTAACTGCATTTCAAGTTTCCTCTCGTAATTTAGAGAACCAGAGAACATTCTACACCTTCAAACTTTTCGGAAATCTTCCCTCAATTTTAAAGAATATAGTCAGAAAGTTTCATGTCAGAATATTGGTTAGATTTGTTTAAAAGATGAAACTTTAGCGAAAATTAGGCAATATTTGATGAGGATACTGATCGCGGTCAAATACGTCTAAAAGATCTTCAGCGGTATTGCAGTGATGCTGCATATTAATTAATGGTCCATTTTGTTTCTATATCTTCTTCATCTTTTCCTTTAAAAGTATAAAGTAAGGGTTCTTACTTGTGTTTCGAAAAAAATGTCATTAAATTTTGAGCACAGAAGAAGCGACTGTTAATGACATTATAAAAACAATTTAGGTGAAATTTTACAAAGTTGCGATGAAATTTAGCCCCTCTGACTCTCATCCCGTTGTATATGACCGTCCATGGGAGGAAGAACCTATGTCCACAAAACTATACTCAAAAAAGGTTTATTGATATACCAGCTCAATGGAATGTATGAATATAAACCCGCACAGTATAAAATGTAGGTATATTAAAGTTTAAATTATTTAATTAGGCAATTATTGGCTGATAAAAAAAGCTTAACCCTAAAATTTAATGCGCCGCCCGGGAATCGAACCCGGGTCGCAAGAATGGGAATCTTGCATGATACCATTACACCAGCGGCGCCTTCCATGCGCATTTACTTCATTTTGTTGACAACAATCCTAATGTGAAAATATTTTTTGTGTGGAAAATAGAATAACACATTGAAAACCTTCAACCTTACTTAGTCTGTTGCAAATTCAACACTGATGTCATGTTTATCTTAAAGTTGGCTCTACATTCTTTTTCGAGGTTTCCTTTTAGAGGCTCCATTTTTATCAGTTTTTCATTTCGTTTGTTTCGAATTCTTTCATTTTTATGTATTTTGTAGCGTTTTTCTCCGACTGAAAGAGACACAGTTCTGAGTCGAAACGCCCTAGTTTTCATTTTGTATTTTTAGCCTTGTTTCCCGCCTCCCCCTCCTTTGATCTACCATGTTTTATTTGAATCGAGCTTGATCCAAATCGGGATATGATAAGAAAATAAAAATTAGATTGTATGACAAAGTCAGAATGGGAAATGTGTACGAATTTGATTCGTTCAGAACTTCAGATCATTAGTTTCACATCCAATGTTAAGTGGAAATGCTGAATTCGAGTGCTAGACTCTAAACCATTCATCTTTAAATAACACATATTCAGTTGCATAGAACCATATGCACTGCCGTGCTAAGGAAGAACGCCGTATGAACCTTCAGGCATTGCCAAATTTCTTTTGATAAAACACGACTTTCCCGGTAAAATTATGAATATTTGTCCTCCAATTTTTTGGATAATTTTGTTCTCGATTTCAACCATAGTCTCTGAAAATTTCAGGGGAAAATATTCATACAATTCTCCGAAAATGAACATTTTAGTGAAGGAAATTTGGCAACTCTCGAATGTTCATACGGCGTTTTTACTTAGCACGGCAGTACAATGTTTAAATAGCGCCTTCAAAAACGCAATAAATGTTCATTTTACCGCACATTGAATCCGATGAAGCGGATGAATTGTGACCACGGTTAGGTTACTTCGGTTGAGTTTTTTGCGTATGAGGGAAGGCTCGCGGCTGAGCGAGTCCCATGCAATTCAATGCGATATCATGCATACATTCCGCTTTAAGTTGACGTGAGTGCTAGCCTCAACGGGGAGTGACGTCACCCTACACCGCTGTGACGTCATACGACACGCCAAGCCCGAAGGCACTTCGCGAAAAGCGCCAGCCGTCCTGATTTCCCCCGAGGCAACCAACATACTTTGATTGATCACTAGCCAAGATTTTTTCTTTTTTCCAAACGCAGACGACCCGAGTGTATCTAGGGAGCGGCTCTCATACATTGTCGTTCCTCCGACGTGAGGTCGTATCTTCATTTTGCGCCTGAGCCTAAAAGAATATAGTGTTATACACAGCTGATAGAGCTCAGCTTGAGAAGCATTTGTTACGTTTTTGCGTCAGGAGAGCGGCATGGGCTTCCATTAGGTGAAGTTTGTCCTTTTTTCATCAAGGTATGGTGTTTACGCACCGCAAAATTATGGCCTGAGAATATGTTTTTTTTTTTTTTTTTTTTTTTTTTTTTTTTTTTTTTTTTAATTTATTTTTTTTATTTATTTATTTTAAAGTGAATATGTACTGAATGAAAAGAGGGCGTTCAATGAAAGGTTGGAGGGAGGGGATTGAAGCAGACATGTTAAGGTGCTCGAGGTTTGTGGTTCGACAGAGGGCAGTGGAGGTTAGGAGTCGTAGAGCGTGAAATAGTGCTATAAAGCGACCTATATGTATGCATATGTACTGAATGATGGCTATTTTCAAATAAAGAGTGAAAACTGCGAAGCTAACGAAAAAAAAATAATCGTTGCTCTTACAATGCGAATGGTTGATCCCGGGTCCTTCTCACTTTTCTAGTCATATGGTCCTACAATGTTATTTCTCAGGACGACTGATGCTACACGACTTGACTGATTTTATCAGAATCAACCTAGCTACATCAGACGTTGTTTCCTGATTTAGTCTCATGTTTTATTTTCTTAGCAGAAAATCAATCAACGATCAATCAATTCCGATGTGAAATTTTATGGTAATATTTTTTTACAAATCAGGAGAAAATGTTCATACATTTTAAATACGTTATGTTCGTCAGTTCTCTTACAAACGACTAAAACTCGAGAGGAGATTAGGCAACATAAAACTCAGACTAGACTAATTTTGACCATATTTGTCCAACCGTTGAGGGTTGAGTTGCGTAGCGGTCGTCGGACTCCTAGTACACGTAGCGCCTTAGCATGCAACTATTCCTGCTCTATGGATGTCCGTATTGCATACGCCGAAATTGAAGGCGCTCCGGGTTACGTCTTCCTCGCAGCGATGTGTCGCGTAACCGTCTCATCCTTCGTGTCGCGTAACTGTCTATCGTTACCCTTGTAACTTTGGCGACTTTAATTAGAGCACGAGGCGAAACACTACGCATCAAATGCGCGCAAAACAAAAGGCTCATCCGCGTGCGAATAAACGCGAGATGAAAGAAACTCATTATTCCGTAACGATAGGATGAAAGGGAAGTTAGAGCCGGGGTCCCGTGCGGGCGGCCAAATCCGTGCCAAGTCCTCTCGTCGATTGTTTTCATACCGGCGCGATGAGTCTATCGGCGGAGCGTGAATGATCGATCATCGATATTTCTCCATTCGAAGCAATAGTAAAGAATCGATTAATTGCGAACGCGCTGCTTATCGACCCTTTTCCATAGGTTCAGATGGCAGGTGAATCGAGGTATCGCAAAGCACGCCACGCCACTGGCGGGAAAGTTGGGAGCGGGAGGCCGATTTGAATAAGCTCGGTTAACAGCCGCCGCGGATTTCCGAACGGGTCCTCTTCATTCGCATTCTCGGAGGTGTGCGAGTCTCATCAA